AATAAGACCTAAATCAAATAAATGTTTCTTCGTGGGTTATCCCATAGAAACAAAAGGGTATTACATCTACAATCGCGCTGATAACAAAGTGTTTGTTGCTCGCGATGATGTCTTTTTAGAAAGGAATCTCTTTCTACAAAGCTAAGTGGGAGTGAAGTGGTTCTCGAAGAAATTCGAGACGAGCAACAAATGGATGTGGATAACACCACATCAGAGGCGAGGGTGCATGAGTCAGCTAATTTGACAAATCATGTGTCGGAGCAAGCTAATTCGACTAAGCGAGACTCCTATCGTCCCACTTGAATGAAAAACTTCAAAGAGTTGAAGAGAATATTTCTATTTTTGCTCCTACCCCACGTAGGTCGCTCAGAATAAAATAAAACAAACAGTTTGTTGAAGTTCTGATAGCTGAGGATTCCAAAAGTTTCCTATTAAAATGTGCGGAAACCATAGCCTACAAGCAAGCTTTGACAAACCCCAACTCAGGAAATGGCTTGAGGCCATAAAATCCATAATGGAATCCATGTCTGAAAAGGATGTGTGGGCCCTGATAGACTTGCAAATGGGTCAAGCCCATTGGTTGCTTAAGTCTATTCGGATTCTTCTAACCATTGCTGAAATTTTTTTATTACGAAATTTGGGAGTTGGATGTCAAAACCACCTACTTGAAAGGGTTCTCGAAGGAGGATCTGTATATGACACAACCAGAGGGTTTTGAGGATCCTAAAAATCCTAGAAAGGTATGCAAGCTTCATAAATCCATTTATGGATTGAAGCAAGTATCATGGAGTTGGAACATTCGTTTCGATGAGGCAATCAAACAGTTTGGTTCCTCAAGAGCGAAAAGAATCTTGTGTATACAAGTAGTTTAGTAGGAGCAATCTAGTTTTCTTTGTCTTGTGTGTAGATGACATACTGCTCATGGAGAACGACATACCAATGCTTGAGTTAGCCAAAGTAATGGTTAAGTGCTATTTCTCTATATATGAAAGACTTAGGAGATGTCGAGTACATATTGGGAATTAAGATCCATCAAGATAGGACTTGAAGGATGATTTTACTAAATCAAGAGACTTATGTTGATAAGATTCTTGACAAGTTCGAGATGCAAGACTCTAAGAGAGGATTTTATCCCATGTCTCATGGTATTAAACTCAGTAAAACTTAGTGCCCTTAAAAGCTAGAAGAGTTGAGACATATGGATAATGTACCTTATGCATTGGTAAAAAGGTAAATTATGTGTGCCATGATATGTACAAAGCCGGGTGTTACATATGCCTTGAGCATGTGTAGCAGGTTTCAAGCAAATTCAGGAGAAGTGCACTAGAAAACTACTAAGAATAAATACTTAAGTACTTGAAAAGGACTAAAGGAATGTTTCTAGTTTATGGTGGCAAAAGTGAACTAGTTGTCAAGGGTTATACGAATGCAAGTTTCCAAACAGACAAAGGTGACTTTAGATTTCAATCTGGGTACATTTTCTGTCTAAATGGAGGAATAGTGAGCTTAAAGAGTTCAAAGTACAACACTGTCGCAGACACCATGACAGAATATGAGTATTTTGCTGCAGTAAAAGTAGCTAAGGAGGAAGTTTGGATCAAGTTGTTTTGTGATAAAATGGCACCATTGCCCAGTCAATGAAGCCAAGGTCACATTACAAATCCCAACATAGTGAGAGGAAGAATCACCTCATTTGAGAGATCATTGGCTGGCGGGATGTCGAGATCTGTAAAGTTTCATATGAGTAAGAATATCACTTACTTACTTACTAAACCCCTTCCACAGCTCAAGTATGAGAGTCATACTAGGGCTCTTGGATTGAAGCAAGTTATGTAATTTAAGTTGTATTTGTTTTGAGAAAACTTATCACATAAGTAATACATTAACTTGCAAAATTATGTGTAATCGGAAATTTATTATTTCTCTTATTTAAATATGGTTTTGATATTAAATAAAATGTCCGAAATAATTATGAATTAATAGGATCATCAAATACGTGATTTGGTGAATGAAACCCCACAGGTGAACTAAATACATAAATTATTTAAGTTCCTAGTTCGAAATCATTAAATTGGACATAGATGATTTCAATAAATGGACTGGCATGTAAGATTGATTGGATAACACAATTTCATGGGCTATAGGGGCATAGAGATGCTTGGTTCAATCACATGGATATGCATGAATGATGCATGATCAAACTATTGACCTACTTTAAAGTTCAATTATAGAGCTTTCGGATATATTAGTGGATTCTTCTGACATGAGTAGAACACTGATTTCATTCAATGATTGATTTAACTGTGATACATCCAAACGTTATTTCGTAAAATGGGACTATAAAAGATGTTTCCCGGTTACTTCAAAAGTTGTGTGGGAGTTTTTGTTGCCATAAGATTGAATTGAGTCTAACTATTTAAATAGGGAATGTGACATGGCCTCTAGTAGAGGGAGAATTGAAAGAATGTGTGGTCGCGCTCGAATGTATTACTCAATAATCATTTGTTTTTGTAATTTTAACTCAAATTTCAAGACATGATTTGTAGATTAATATGATCTCGACATGAAATGAATCATATATATTATCAAATAGATGCATATTGACTTAAGGAATTTGAATATTGCACACTTGTCTCAAACAAGTGGGAGATTGAAGGATTTATGGCTTCGTCAAGTGCAATTACTAGATATATAATGGATCAAATTATGGAGTTAATTAAGTTTATTATTTTGGGTCGTCAGAAGCTAGAGGTACTAACAATCTTAAGGCTAGTAAAATAGGCCAAAGCCTAATTAAACGGATCCTATAAGGTCACATAAAGGGCCTAGATTGAGCATAATAAGAAGAAGAGGCCCATGATGGGCCTCATATCTCTAGGTACCCGACCATGGGGATTGGTTTGGAGGATTTTGGGCTTTCTAACTTAGTTTAGTTATAATAAGATTATAAATAGATTAGGTGCCTAGGGTTTTGGGTAGATTTTACTGTTAATCAAACCCGAGTTAGCAAACACGAGACCCAACCCTCTCAAACTCCTTCTCCTCTCTCTCACGGCTCTCTCCCCTCCTTTACGCCAGTGTGTGTGTGCGGTGGTGGTGGTGTTCGTGGTGGTGGTTGGTTGTCCATAAAGGTGGTGATCGTGGTTTTCCCTTTCACTCGACCAATCTAGTATTGGTGGGCGGCTCGTTCGAATCTCGTGGACGAAGTAGAGGAGCAACGCTTGGGGCTCTATTCTCTCCCTTATTGTCAATCAACTTGCTACGTGAAAATCATGTTTCAAAGGTATAATTATGTGATTCTTGTGTGTTATGCATGCGATCTTGTTTTAGGTGCTTATGAATATAATTCATGAAATTCCGCTTAGAGTACCTAAATAGCTACACTTCAGAATCACTAAATAAATTTTTTGTATCCAATAGCAGATCCAAAATACCAATTATAAGGATTGATAAGTAATAATTTAAATATACACATGTTAAAAGAAATATTAAATTAGACGAGTCTTCAAATTTTAAAAGTGGTCTATTACATTAATAATTTGAATTTTAACAAGAAAAGTAATTTTGCTCAATGTGATCAGACTTTCACAAGGGAATTAAACCAATGACCTTTGATATAAAAAGTAATATTCCAACCACTACCACTAGGCTACACTTGAACACAATAATGTGCTTTGTATTCTAGGTATATTTAACTAAACTTTAATTAATTTGAACCTTTTTTAGTGTGTGTGTGTATAAGACACAAGATAGCTCCTTCACTAACTAGTACAACTAAAAGTCAATAACTAAAAACAATTGGATTTATCATTGTTTTTAAATATTGACCTCAAATCGGACCCAAAGATTAACAATGACCCCAAAACCTCTATAAAGAGCATGTTTTTGGCATGAAAATCGAAGAATTTTTTTTTATTAAACGTTAGATCTAATGGTTTTTTAACGGAAAGTGTTAAATTGTGGTGAAATCTAAATTTTGTGTCTTTTTGGGTGATATTTAAAAAAAAAAAAATTGGGTGGTAATATTAATAAATAGGTTATTTGAGGGTGAAATTTCCTTAAAGGGATTTTCCATTTGGTATCATTATAATTTGGGTTTTTCTATTTGGTATCCAATTTTTAATTTTATTCCAAATGGTAACACTATACTTTCGATTTATTCTGTGTTGTAGCATTCCATCAAACATATTATGTATTCTTCGATTTGGGTGCCATAAAAGTTGATCGGTTAAGGTTTTAAGAGGATGTTTTAGCTCTTAGCGGCCTTAAGGTTTAAGTTTGAGGTCCAAATTAGAAGAAAAAAAGGGCTTAAAATGTCTCGGTTTAAGTGCAAGAAAATTGTCTTGATTGTATATTTCAATTCGTTTCGCCTAAAAAAATGTTTAGTTAAAGTTTAGGAGGTCATTATGACCTTAGATGATCAAAATTTGCAGTTAAATTTTTTTTAAAAAAAAAGACTACAATCGCCCCAAACTAATGTCTTATTAAACGAGATGTTATAGTAAAGAATAACTCAAAATTACAATAGTATCATGTGAAATTAATATAACAATTGGATACCAAATAGAAAAACTAAAACCACAATGATACCAAATGGAAAATTCCTAACAAACCAAAAATTATAGAGGCCAAATTTTAGTTGATAAGATGAGGTTTTTTTTTTTTTTTTTTTTTTGGATAAAAGAATTAGTAAAAAGTGACGTAGATAAAAAAAAATAAGGTAATGTGTCAAAAAAGGAATTGAGACAGAGAGTAAAATAGAGTATATATTGTTACCAATAATGCTGGTCTAAATCATGATTATAAACAGATTAATCGCTAACAACATCTACTCAAAAAGGTAATAAACAGCTAACATGGCACGCTCCAAGGCGCCTCTCTCTGTATCTGGCTTTCTCTCTCCTCTAAAAAAAGCGAGCGAAAATGCCACGTTCCTTTTCACTTCACTTCCCATTCAAGCTTTCCATCTTCCCCCTTTTCTTCTCTTCATCTTCCCTTCTCTTCTCTTTCTCTCTCCTCTTTCATTTCCCCATCATTCCCTTTTCCCTTTCTTTACTCATCATTTCATCTTTCTTCCTACGCTAATCACCCCCAATTTCGATACCCTTTAATACCCAGAAAGAATCCCAATTTAATCAGTCCATAAACTCTGATTTTTGATCATGGGAAATTGTTTTACAAAGCATAATAACAAATGTCTAGTAGAAATTGCACCAGCAGAGGATTTAGCTGGTGGGAAACCAATCCCACCAATTGTATTTCTATATGGTGATCCAAGTAACTCTGCTACTCAATACCTACGTTTCGCTCTTCTCTTCAAACCACTCTCGCTTCGTTTCGTCCCTCGGGCTGAAACCCCGGAGTTTACAGTCCGTTTCGTTACCGATGAGCCGGTTTCGGGACCGTCTGAGATGATATTAGAGTATATTGAATCGAAGCTTCCTCGTCCTGCTCTGTTTAAACGAGTGAGAAATGGGTTGGTGGAGGGTGGTTGGGAAGAGGAGGATAAAACGGCGGCGTTTTGGGTGGTGGTGAGAATGGTTGTGCTTCAGCATAAGAGTATGAAGTGGCATTTGGAGAGGGTGGTGAGGTGGGGGTTGGATCTTTCGACACGTGGTGGAGTAGGAGCCGTTGATCCGAGTGTTGGGACTCCGAAAATGGAGGTGAGTAAGTTAGGGAAGAGTTATGGAAAGTTGCTTGAGGTATTGCTTGAGCATGCTCAGATGGAGGAGCGCATTCTTTTTCCTATTTTACAAGCTTCTGATCCAGGTCAATTTTTAATTTTAAAACTTATTTGAAATTAAGTTGTTTTTTACTCCGTAATATTTATTTATTTATTTTTAATACACCCTGGTTTATGGTACATTCATATCTCCTTGGCCGATTGAGGAGAAAGTCAAATTAGTTAAAAATGAGCGTGGGTGTATCGTGTATTCGTGTGCCTGGTACAAATGTCTTAGTGTGATAGGGATGTCCTGTTACAAAAAAGCCTTTAGACATTGAAATAATTGAATATCTGGATATTTCAAAAATATTGGGGGGGGGGGGGGGGAGAGGAAAGAGTGATCACCACAAATTTATATTTATGAAAAAATGATGTTTTACTGTAGTAAATTTTAATGTAGTTGAAATGTTTCTTGGTGCACTCTTAAGAGTAACTTACTCATGGGAAAACAATATTTCTAGTATAACTCACAAAAATGTAGTGTGAAAATGTGATACTTGTATGTAAATTGAGAAAGTTATCGTTGCACAATTTTAAGGTAGTGCTATACACTAATACACAACTATATTGAATCATGCACATGATACATCCACACTTAACTTATTTTTACTCATTTAATTAATGTGAAACAATTTTATTAAGAATTACTAAGAATTTGTAAGTTGGATTCAACCGTGTGATCCTGCAATGAGATGGTTTAGATTCTTAGTTTTAGGATGGGCTTTATTGCTATCGAGCTAAGCGGGATCAGTAAAATGAATTGTGGGACTTATGGTACGGTAAGTGTAAAGTTCAGAGTATTAGTACAGGGAAAAATTCCCATTAGAATAACAGGTACAAGGAAGAATTGTATTAGGAGGGGGAGATTAAGAATGATATAGGAGACATACGTGTTTGTTATGTGAGCCTTTGAAAGCCTAATAACTTAAACTTTGAGCTATTCAATAGGAGGCAGCGCATTGAGTTGAAGCTATAACCTACTATGCTCATTGCTGTTCTAATCATGAACCTTTCGCATTACCAAGATTCAAAGCTAGAGTTGTATTTTAAGGGTACTCGCATCTTGGAATTGCATAGATATAATCAAGTATATGGAGGATTTCAGTTTATGTAAGGAATAACTGAGAAAGACTGGGGGTGGAGATTGGTTCTCAGCCAATACATTTAACTATAACCACTATACATTGTACGGTGCTTCCAAATTTCCAATAAATTTCCTAGTTTTTATTTCAATTTCTTTGGGTTTGAATGAAGTTAGAATATCTAATTAGTGCTTCGAGTATTGGTTTGGTGTGGCGTTGATGGTTCTGTACTCCATTGGATATTTTGTGACCTTGGCTTTTAGCTTGATTATGGGTAAGATCTTAGGATCAAACATGAGTCTTACTAATCTTACCTTTATAGGCTTACCTGCCTCTTTTGAACCACAACTCAAATAGCTCCAATACTGAACCTGTTAACATTGTACCAAGTGACACCAGAACCATAGAAAACTAGGTATTAAACCGGAAACACAATTTAGTCTTTCATCTGGTGTAATATTGAATTGTGGGCTAATATGCTACCACCAGTGCTAGTTTACCTTTTGATGGTTTGCCTCCTGAGTGGTTTTTTATTCATTTTCCATGACATATGAATTCCAGCTGCTTTTGTAGCCGTTGTCTCTACAATTATTACTCTTAATGTGGGGTTTATGCAAGTGCTAAAACTATTGCGTATTAGTTCTTTGATCTGAGTCTGCAAGCAGCCTGCAACTATGATAGTGTACTAAGATTTTCTATGCAAAATGATTTTTTATGCCCAATCCTTTTGTGTTGCTATCATTTGATGATCCAGGGGGTTAGTTGAAAACTAGGTTAGAACCCATGCGATGCACGGTATATAAAATCTATTTTTATAATTTGTACATTTTTTAAAAAATGGATAAATATAAATAAGAATTATGTTCCTTGTACAAAAATATTTGTAATTTTATAGTTTTAGATTTTCATCAAAATTATGATATAATACCTGTTCAACGTCGTTTAATACATATTTTAATGTAGGAGTCCATTTATTAGTGTGTTATTTACAATTGTTTTATTTTTGAAAGATAAATTGATAGGTTGTAGTTGTAATGTAGAAGTTTCTAATATTCAAATTTCAAAATTGTTAAATATGGTAGCTCAAAAAAAAAAAAATGACATCATCCTAGCTTGCATTTAGGCAGGAAAAAATTTATTATGTGAGTGACATGTGGACGGTGCTGATGTCAGCAACATTTTGTTTTAGTAATAGTTAATAGATTATGGTACTTTGATTTAAGTGCTGAACATTATGGCTGTAAACTATATGTTCCAGATTATGAAAATAATGTATATAGATAAACAATGCAGGGGTATGTAGATGTGTGACTGAGGAACATGCAAGGGACCTGCCTGTAATGAATGGAATAAAAGAAGATATCAAATCCGTGGGAGTTCTGAATGTTGGTACTTCTATCCATAGGGAGGCCTTGTGTAGCCTTACTGCTCGACTGCAAACATTGCAGGTATTTTTTGTATGCAACACTATCATTGAGTTTTGAATCAACTCAGATTTTTTATTTTATCGAATCTATTTCATTTGTTTTGGAGCTTTATGAACGAGTCCTTGATAAATTTGACACAGCATGAATTTTCATGATGTGCTTCATACTATTTGAGGAATTAGCTTTCTGGTTTTGGGTTATTAATCATTTTGGCCATAACAGGAGAACTGTAGCCAACATTTTAATGAAGAAGAGAAAAATCTGTTACCACTGATGGAGGCAGCTGATTTGACCAAGCATCGACAAAGAAAAATTGTTGAACAGAGTATTAGTGTGATGCAAGGGACTCATTCTCACTTATTCCGCTTTTTTATCGATGGATTACTTCCTCATGAAGCGATGGAGTACTTGGATTTGGTGATGAGCTGCACTGACGAGGAAACAACAGCCTCCATGCTAAGTGTACTTGTTGAGTAAGTTGACCTATTCTAATATTTCAAACAATGTCACTAATCACTCATTTCATGAGAAAAACTCTTTAGAATGGATGAACTCCTTACTCCAAATGCTTCCAAATGATTTGGGTCTTTTCATTTTGAACTTCTTTTTTATAAGCATGTGTCCTTCGTAGCATTCTAGCTCTTAGAAACTAAGGAGCTTATCAGCATGGACCTTTTTAGCCACTATAAATTAGGACCTTGGCCTTGGTAATGGAAATCAACACTATCTATTCATAAATAACTAAATAAGCCTGTGTGCAGAGTTACTTGCATAGTTGGTATTTGAAGCAAAATAAACAAGACGCGAGTGCTAGCACTCGTAGCAGTGGTTCTCTGTCCATATCCTGTGACCTATTTCCGCAAATAAGCCTGACTATCCCCTCCCGTCCCACCACATCCTCGAAAGAAACTATATAAACACAAAAATACTTGTTAGTTGGCATTAATTCGTTTAATCTGATTCGAAATTTGATGTTACAAGCTGATGTTTCTAAAAGCACTTCCAGAGTTAGTTCCAGATTTCCTTGTTCAATATATTACTTTGAAATATAGCAATTAAATGTTGCCTTTATCAAGCTACTCCACTGCTTGATATGCTTTTTTTCATTCCCTTCAGCTAGATTTTAAAAGAAGAGATTAAGGCTTTCCGACAACTCTCAATACAGATAGGACAGCACCAATGTGCACTTTCATTTCATATACAAAGCTAGGGAACATCTTTACCGGGGTATGTACGATTCGCATTGGCTTTGTCAATGAAGTACAAAGTGAATGGGAGACCTTGAAGATCAGATTAGCTATTTTCAGCATTAACATGGCTTTCTGAGTGTAAATATATAGAACGACATTTTCTAGGAAACTTAAGTGACCCTTTTCAGTTTATATGGAAAAGAAAAGGATGTATTTCTGTTTATGAAGAATATTTTTAATCTCTGCCAGTTCAATTGGATTGTAAAGTTTTACAGTGTGTTGTTATACAGAACTGTTATGTTCGAAACATTGTTAATTTGTTAGCCATACGAGGGTTCCTACTTTTATATTTGGAGAAAGTTTCATGCATTTCTTATGTATAATACCCCTCTGTTTCTTTTCCTCAAAAAAAAAAAAAAAAGACCCCTCTGTTTCTAAAAGAGGATTACATTTGTTCTTTTTGATGTTTCCCTTAAATGGTTATGATTCAATTATTTCTTAAATTAGAATAATTATTTTTTTTAAGAAAAAAAATTTTCTTATACATACATATTTTCCATGCAACTATCCTCATTTATCAAAATAATTACAAATTATTAATGCAACTATTCCTGTTTACAAAATATTTACCTACTTCCAAACTTTCAAAACAAATATTCCTATTTTCAAAGTTAAATGTGAAAAATCATTGAACATAACCTGCTTTTGATAATGAAGGGAGTAGTATAAAATTGCTCTTTATGGTTTGTTTATTGGGACTTGTATGCTTTTAAATTTTTTAATTTTTATCCTCGCATTTCACTATCTATACTTGTCCTTTTGGTACTAAAAAATGTCCAAATGTTATCCTTGCCATGAACATTTCCTTATTATACAACTAGTAAGTAAATATAGGTGATCAATTAAAAGTTGATCACCTTACATCTACCCAAGTCAATACTTTAGCTTCAAATGATAGTTATATGCCTCCCTAATTACCACTTCTTTAGTAGTGAACTCCTCTTCCGAAGTAAGCCTTAAAGTTCCTGAACTTATACCTTAGCGTGCTTGGTGCAGCACCGGTGCTGTTTTCCCTATCTATTGATAGTTGTATGCCCCCCTTGCTGTCGTAACCGAATCAGGCTTGGCTTAGCCCACACACCTGCCTTCTTGCATTAAGTCATCAGAAAAAACTAGATGATTTAGCTTCGAATGAGAACTAGGATGAAAACCGAAACCATGCTTTTCTCCTACTTACTGATATAGGAATGGTTCTACAATTAATACTCGATCCCCTTCCTAGGCTCAAAACCCATACCATTCAAACCACTGGAAAACTTGGACATGAAGCACAGAATAGACAGACGTGAATGTGGTAACCATCCATTACAAGTCCCCTCGCGTCTTAGTTGTGTGACCTCAGTCATTGTCACTTGGAGCCACTCTGTCAACTAGTAACGGAAAGCAAGTAAGAAAGGATTATCCACCATTCCTAAAAACAAGAATATACACGGAAATGGATGAAGTACTTTATAAACATTAAGGTGTCATGTAGATTTTTCTAAGTTAAAGAGTCCAAGACCATTTTTTAAAAGGAAGAAACACAAAAGTTAACTTAAGATTGAAACCTAACTTAGCATTAGAAGAAATAAAATAAGAAAATTTACAGTTTACAAAAGAGTCTATATCTTAATGAGTTTGCATATAGTGACTCAAAGCTGAAACATAATCTACTACGCGATTAGATTTATTGAAAATATGGTGGGAATTATCTATATCAGAATGGCCAAGCAGTTGTTCCAAAATAATGTAGTTTACAACAATTTATGCATGGACTTTCAAAATCACTTGTTCCAAATACATTAGCTAATAGTTGTTTTATCATCAAAGATACGGCGAAATAATCATCCATCCAAAGTAGCCAACAGATAGAATCGCCTTTTACTGGTGGCCCGACCGCCCATAGCATCCCAAGAGAGTTTAGCTTTCCACCCATAAAAGGGAAAACATAGACAAAAAGAATAATAAGGTATAATTTTGTTTTATGATTAGTTTCATACTCTACCCACTTCTGTTTCCGTTGCTTTATGGAATAAGTGGATAACCAATTGTTCCTTTCTACTTATTTTATTTTGCTCTTTGAACTAATGGTAACAAAATTATGGCTAACATCATTGTAAAGGTCATCAAGTCATCCATTATATAACTCCATATATAGCAGATGAAACGAAAATATAACTTGAAAATATAAAAAAAAAAAAAATAATAAAATTGGGATGAGGACTGTGGCTTTGTTCTCCTTGATGTTGTACTTATATCTTGTGCTTTCGACAGCATCGTCTCCCTCTCATACAAGCTTCAGTTCTGGTATTTCCAACTATTTCATCTTTATTTGTCATTTTGTTGTAATGAAGTTTTTGCTCTACAAAAGCATTAAACATATCTAGCATACTTCACTTTTCTTTCTATTTGGATGTTCAATGTAATACTTCTTAAACTAGAACATTGACAGCAATACTGGTTTCCCACCAAACACATTCATGGCTTCTTAAACTTTTTTGTGATCAATTCGTTACCTTATACAGTATAATAAGTGAAGTTCAGTGTTAAAATAGCTGATCCCATATACCAGTAGGTATGAAAACTTACATGAATAGTCAGAAATGAGAATAATCAGTAAGCCTACAATTAATACATCTAATTTATGCTTGTATATTATTCATCTCCTTGGAGATTAAATTTTGTCAATAAACATGTCTCGAAACACAAGGATGGGGATGCAGAAGGCAGGTTTAGTGAACTATGAAGTGAAACTCTGAAGTAAAATCTTGTACCTTATGTTTATGTATTCCAGAGCTTGCAGATATGGCGTAGTAACTAACAATGAACCTGATTTAAGAATATTGGGAAGGAAAAGTCCTATAAAACCGCGGAAAATCCAATCAATCTTCACTTATGCACATGCATAAATAATGCATAACGCATTAGATAACAGATGATTGTTGTGTGTTTGTAGCTGAACTGCAGGAAAAAAACCATACAGAGAATGGATTTGTGCAGAACATAAGAACAGGCCATGGCAGTGGTGAAGGAGGTAGTGGTCGTGGAGGCAGTGCAGGGGATGTACAACAGGGAAGACCGCTCAATGGAGCTGGTAATGTCAATAGTCGTAATCACCAACGCCATGGAGCAGGTGTCCACACTTCCAACTGCAACTTCAGCATGCTAATAGTGTTCATCAGTCTTTCTCAGGTTTTATTATGTTTATTGTGAGCTTGAAATAAACATTAATGCTCGGCTGTAAACAAAGAAAAGGCGTTCCATTGGCAGGTTGATTCTTAAAAACTTCGACTTCTGTAATTTAGCATTTGGCAAGGCAGTGAATGTATAGGTTTCCAACTCCCCTTGGACCGAACTTAAAGCTCAATCCATCCAATTCGAGACATTAACAATAAGCAAGAATCTGAGGATAATACTAATTAAGCTAACTATACGTGTTTAAACAGACTTTTTAAATCACAGAGCCAAGTATAATATAACAAGACTAATTGGCAAAAATGAATTAAATTGAGCTTACATTAGTTAAAAATAACGAAATAGAGTAGCTTTCCTGTTGGATCATGATTTATTGTATGAATGCCCGAGTTTCCATTGTTATTTTGCCTCTGTCCTCAGGCAATCAGATAATTAGATTAAATTATCTGTCGGCTTCTGTCCTTGCAATTGGTAAAGATGGCCTAGAATAATTAGTAGTTGCTGTAGGCAATTTAGAGGCACCAAGGGCCTGATAGTTTCGCAACTATGGTGGTCTACGCATTGAGGTCATTCTTAGAGCTTACTTTGGCTTGGGACATTGACACATCGAGGTCATTACTTCAGTATGCGATTGGTGCCCTGTAGCTATCAAAGAGACTCTGTGTTATCCCAGTTCGCACCCCTGTGTTGATTGTTTTTGCTCGTGTAGACTTAAACATTGTCTCCAGATATATTATTTCATTGAAGTGTTTAGTTTACAGATATATTGAAACAAATTTGCGACTTAATAAATTAATTTAGTCAACTACTGGTATATTGTAACCTTCTCTCTAAGGAAAGATTACTGGCTAATAGAATGACGGGTTTAATATAATTTAGTCAAGTCCTGGCTAATAGAATGACGGGTTTAAGAACTACTACTGTTTATATTATGTCAGTTTTTTGTCACGAAATCGATCAGCTTGATAATTAATAGGAGCTTTGACATACAAGGCCTGTAATCAGTTTTTCTACTCGAATTATATGAATATCGAAGCGATCATTCCTGAATCCTGAATGCTTTCATGCTTAATTAACACTATTGGATATTACAGTTGATCTGTATCAGTTTTAAATTTGGTTTGGTTTGGTTTGTTATATACTTAGTACATAATTGTGACACAAAAAAATAAAATAAAATAAAATAAAATAAAATAAAAAAAAAAAAAAAAAAAAGAAAAATCCAAAGGAATCTTCCAACCTTACTAGTGTTAACTGGTTAACCAAGCCTATTATCTTGGAAAATTTACGTTTTAAATATGTCAATGCTATAAACTACTTTTTTCTTTTTTGAAAAGACATATTCTTAAACTTTTGTAATAATATTTTTGGTATAAACTTCTTAATCTTACATGCAATGATGAATAAGATAAAAGAAAATTCGCAGTATTAAAACCACAACGTTACAGAGAACCCTCAGAGTCTCAGATCTCAGTTCCTCATTTTACAGTCGGTCATAGCAAGCACTTACATTTGTAAGCAAGGCAGACAAAGTATGTGAATATGAACAAACATATCAAGATGCTTCAGTGCTTCCATTCTGGTTCCATGGAAACAGTAAATAACATCATAAGGCATTGAAGTGCAGGTTGCTTTGCACACGATCTTGGTTGGCCTTTCACCCCTAGCCACATCCACATACTTTGTACAGCAATGTGTTCGATACGCCTGTTTCAGAAGTAAAAGCACTTGATTAAATGAACATAAGGATGGAAATGCAGTAAGTGACAAGGATCAGGGAACACAAATGTTTTTTGACAAAGACTTGGCCTAAAATCTCAGAGAATAGATCCAATTTACAGAACTTCTGAAAAATTCCTTAACCACACTTAACTACAAGTATATTATTGGACATGAAGACTAGATTATCCTACTTTCCGCACTCTTTCTGTCTGAAAATAATAATCACATTATCCTAACCTCGCATACTAAAGACTACAACAAAATTATTAAGTATTCTAGAGTAAATGCATATATTGAATATTAATAGATTTAATCATTTACAATTTTGGGAAGTTCAATTTTTTCTAACATCCTAAAATAAATGCATGCCTATTTGTTCAGCAAAAGGATCATCTTTCAAGCAATGCATGTAAGCCGTCATTTTCATCAGAAATTAGATGTCGCATCATACAATACAAAGCGAAATGAGTTTAACTAACCAACTAACTAGCTACCTATAAAACTAAATAATGGGAAATTAGCAGATTTTAATATATGCATCGTTTGCTAATGTATATACCAGGTTCACATAACGTAACTACTAAATGTCAGAGAACTTATTGAATCTGAATTCTTTGAAAGATTAGCAATTCGATACTTTGTATATGATATCTACTCTTGTACAAATTATGTACCTGTATGAGTAGACTCCACAGTTAACCTCACTTGTAAAAAGATCCCAAATTTTGCAATAATTTTGTACCTTGAAATAACTTAAAATTGTACAAGCTGTTCGAGTTTGCGACTCTGGAAAAACTTGCAACGACCTTTACTACTGGACTCAATCTCCTCGCTGTTTCTCTTGCCTCCTGTGAAACCTAGATTGCTTAGCTTGAGCTGTCGCTTGCCATTCTTGTTAGCTGTACCTTCCTCATCCAAGGCACCATCTGCTTCCCTACCGAAGATAATGGACAAAAGAAAAACAATGATTATCACACAATTAGAGATCCCATGAATTTATTTATCGTAAAGCAACCTCAAAAAATCAGGCAGATGTGTGTGTGTGTGTGTGTGTGTGTGTGTGTGGTGTCTCAGGGTAGCAAAATGTCAAAACATCTGGAAATGTCATAATTGTTAAATGTTTGAAAATAAATATCACAAATGTTTTTGAGCACCATCCACAGGGTCTTCTCCCAAGCTCAGAATTAAAACACATCTAAAAACTCTGAGATGCTGTGATGGATCCAGGTCAACAACCACCAATCCGGGTATATGCTAGAAGGGAAGTCAACGGTGAAAAGCAACAAGCCAAGTCCAATGATGGGATGCAAATTAAAGCAGGTAACCAAGCACATCAAGACAAAATACTCGCATACCCTTGTGAAGAAGAAGACAAAAAAATGATTAATGAAGCACTTTGTGATGGGGCAACAAGTGAAAGAAGAGCTGATTCTCTGTTAGGAGTAGAAGACAACAATCATTAATTATTAGCATGCTTTTGAGTAGAATGTTTGTACTATATAAAGGAGAGATCATTTTGTAGGGTATCCAGAAAATTGTGACTGAACTCTTGAGAGATTAGCAGCCTCAAGTTGCTTAGGAGACTTGTAGCCTCAAGATACTAACCCTTGTAACATTTTGACAACAATTCAATCAAACAGTAGCCAATCTTCTCCCCATATATCTTCTATCTTGTTCAATTAAATACTGTAAATTGCTAGTCTATTACAGATGCATTTGACGCAAGGGAAATATCTCAATCTATGTACGCATTGATCTCTCAAGAAGAGAGAGAGAGAGAGAGAGAGAGAGAGAAGAGCTCATAAAAACTATAACGACCAATAACACTAGTCAGCCAAATAATGAAATTTGTTGGCAGCTGGCGGTAAACAATATGCTCATCTGCTGCTAAATCCCAATATTGGATTATATGTCATTTCTCCCTCAATGAAGATACTAGTCAAGGGATGATGAATTGAGCTCTTACTGATCAGTAGCAAAGAGAAGGGATCATCCCCTTCAATATATAAGTCATTGTATTTATTGCCCCAAACCATAGTTGTCTTTGTAATTAGTGCAACTTTTAAAAAGTATGAAAGAGTGATAAATTAAGTATAACTAAAGCAATTACCTTGGTCAAAATTAATTGGGAAAACCTTCAATTGCAACAAAAGCAGCTACCTTCTTCAAATTGAATGAACTTTGACAATGGCCAAGTTAAGAGAGAGAGAGAGAGAAGGGTTTTAATTAGAGGGGTTAAGGAGGGAATTAGAGGGGAAATAAAAGAAAGGGGGTGGGAATAGTAAATAAAAGAGCACATGAGGGGGGTCAACGCCGGAAAATGGTCAGTCAATGCCGGAAAACGAGGTTTGGTTGTCTTCAACAAAAAAATTTTACAAACAAGTTGCATATTGCCAAGAAATTTTTAAAAGGTCTTTCTGGACAAAAAAGTTGTTTTAAAAGGTTTTTTCTAACAATTTTTTCTTATTTATATGGAGTTTAAAATTTTCGTTTCACTTCCAAATGGCTCATAAGGATAGAACACAAAAAAGTTGCAGCTGATGCACACTAACATCAGGATCAAAACGTAACATTTAGTCCTCTAGCCAAAATCTGATCTGATCTGATTTCAATATTGAGATAATGAAACATTTCTCACCAAGAAAACATGGATAATCCATGTCTAAAATTTGCCATTTACTAATATTAAATGGGTGAATATAAGATAGCCATATCACATACGTCATCACATATTTAAATGTGATTTATCACTACAAAGACATATGTAATAGTCATCTCATCACTCATAAAAATTACCTCTTGCAGGGATGTAGTAACTTTGGACGGTAACAGGTTCCCAAACAATAACAAGTGCCAAACAAAGTCAAAGTACATTGATGTGAAGTTTCGAGCTTTAAAGGAAAGAGTGGAGTAGACAATTGTCTTTAGAGCATGTCAGCACAAACTCTATGGTAGCAGATCTACTTACTAAAGGTTCACCTCCCAAAGTATTTCATGAGCTTACTGCTCGTATGGGTGTCATACCACCTAAGGATATCTAGTTTCAGTTGGAGTTTGTAATTATGATGGTAAAAGTATTTTCTGCAGCATTAAAACTTTCAGTTTTGTTTACTCTTCTATTAGTTCATAATCTTGATCTTACTAAAGTTTAAAGAAGACCAGTTAGAAGTAAGCACAGGATCACATTTGTATGATATTTCCATACTACACACCTATATGTGATTCATGTCGTGAATCATGTTAACATTGTGACCATTGATGGATGTAGTTATTTTAATTGTAGATCGCTTTGATTCTATGTTAATATTATTGATGGACCAAATTACTTAAAGACGTTTAAAATTTGTGATGGTATCTTTGAGCTCCTAAGGCTATGAAGTATAATGAAAATATCAGTATCACACATATTTAATTGTATTTGGTCCAAGAGGGAAATTGCAAGAAATATGGACCTAAATACAATTATATGCGTGTATAATACAAGATAACTGCTATCATATGGTTTGGCCCCACAAAAAAAAGAAAAAGTTATTCAATTAAATAATAATTGGGCTAGAAAACATCTTTTAAAGTGTGTGTTTAGTCTTTTATGTGCAGAAACCGTCAAGCCTTTTCTAATACAAGATGGGGGAATTAGGAAAGGAGTCTATTAGAGTTATGGTCTCTACTAGTACATACAATAGACCCTCAAATATATCCCATCAGTAGAGAAAAAACCTTAGTGTGTTTTTCTGCTACAAGATACATAACCAAGGGAGGGATTTAATTGAATCATCATAGAATCAAGTGCGCTTCTGTAAATTATGTACAAGTATTATTTAAATCCTTACAAGCCGGGATCACCTTGTTAAAATTAGCTAAACTTGACAAATGATTTCATAGCTTTAATTTAATGAAAGCCAATGAGTAAATTAAGGGGTACGCTATTCTATTAGAGAAAAAGAGAAATATATGAGTGAACAATTAATTATAACTCCCAACTACTATATAAACGCATTGTGTATTTGAGTTTTTGTAAGACACACATTTCATGAGAGATATAAGAGATATTGTTTGGTGCATTTGTTTTCTTCTCTATATTACTGTTTGAAATATATTTGTGTGTCCACCATGATTCCAACAAAGTGGTATCAGAGACACGTTATATAAAAGACATGGCAACAAAAAATAATGTGTAGCTTTTCAATACCCCAAACTCACAAAAGAAAATTATGATAAGTGGTCTCTACGAATGAAAACTATTCTTAGCGCAAAGGAGTTTGGGAGATTGTTGAGAAAGGTTTTATACAACCAAATGATAACTCAAAATTAAATGAGGCAGATAAACAAGCTTTGGAAACCGAGAGGAAAAAGGATCAAAATGCACTTACGGTCATGCATCAAGGATTGGATGATGATATGTTTGAGAAAGTTGCTAATGCAACCAACTCCAAACAAGCATGGGATACTCTTCAAAATTCGTTTGAAGGAGTAAGTAGAGTAAAAAAGGTTCGCCTTCAAACTCTAAGAGGAGAGTTTGAACACCTTGGAAGAGTTTTATACGTTATGAATCAAATGAAGACGCTTGGTGAGTCAATGCCAGACTCTCGTGTAGTTGAAAAAATACTACGTTTTATTACTTCTAATTTCAACCATGTAGTGGTTGCTATCGAAGAGGCCAATAAGGACTTGGATTCCATGATGATTGATGAATTAAATGGGTCTCTTAGAGCCTCTGAACAAAGAATAGTTAAAAAAAGGTAAAAAGGAAGATGAGCAACAAGTGTTACAAGCAAAAATTTCTTTTAATAATAAAGGAGATACACGTGATAAACAAAGATTTCAATCACGTGGTAGAGGCGGTCCACGAGGACATGGACGTGGCCAAGGAAATCGGGAGAGGAGACCAAAACACCAATAATTTTTATAGAGGTGAAACTTCTGCTAGAGGTCGAGGCCGAGGAAGAGGTAGAGGAACAAACCAGTTTCAAAGAAACAATAACAAAGCTAATATTCAATGTTACAATTGTGATAAATATGGCCATTTTGCATGCGAATGTTATTCAAAAAAGGTGTAGGAAAAAATAAACCATATTGAAAATAAAGAAGTAGAAGATTCAACCATGCTATTAACACTCAAAATAGAAGACAAAAGAGATGAAAATTGCACATGGTATCTTGATAATGGAGCCAATAATCATATGACAGGAGAAAAAAACAAATTTGTTGATCTTGATAGAATTGTGATTGGGAATGTTACTTTTGGCGATGGCTCAAAGTAAAGATTAAGGGAAAGGTACAATAATGATTTAATTAAAGGATTCTAGTCACAAATTAATTCCGGATGTTTAACATATTCGTAAATTAAGAAGTAATATCTTAAGTGTAGGTCAACTCTTGGAGACCAATGGATGTAAAATAATAATGGAGGGACAAAAGTTGTGGCTACATGATAGATACTCTAAGCTTATAGCCATAGTCTCTATGACAAAGAACAAAATGTTCTTATAAACTTACAAACAATTGGACCTATGTGTTTGAAGACGTGTATTGAAGATCTATCTTGGAAGTGGCACATGAGATTTGGTCACCTTAATTTTGAAGGACTAAAGGAACTAGGTCACAAGAAAACGGTACAAGGATTACCCCATGTTGATCATCCGAATCAACTTTGTGAAGCAATGTTTGCAACATTCAAGGAAGCCCTTTCCAAAACAAACTAATTCAAGAGCTCAAAAGCCACTGAGTTAGTGCATTCAGATTTATGTGGATCTATCAAACCCTCATCACTCGATAACAGTTCATACTTTATGCTTTTCATTGACGATTATAGCAGGAAGACATGGGCTTATTACTTAAAAAATAAATCTGAAGCTTTTGAAATTTCAAGAAGTTCAAGGCATTAGTAGAGAAAGAAAGTGGTTATGAAATAAAAGGAGAGGATCATAGTTGAAGATAACTAGAGATGACATCCTGCTTAAAGTAGCTGACTCCATCATTGGGGATAAAAGCAGTTCTTGTTAACCATTTATAAAAGACCGTTTTTTGTTTTTTTTTTTTTTTTTGTTTTTTTTTTTTGGGGGGGGGGGGGGTCGGTGGGGGTTGATAAAACAAAAGACTATCAACCAAATGAACAAACTGCTACATATTTTAAGCACTTTACAAGTTTACATCACCATATCACATTGCAGTAATCCATAGATTTCATTCTAGTGTCCAACCATGTATGCAAATCAAAGAGGTATTAAGCAGTTTTATATATATGGACCCATTCTCATGCAATATTAGCAAGAGTATAAAAGTGTAGACTGTCTCACCATAATACTTCAGCGCCGTCTTTGAAGTAGGTAGTGCAAGTGCCCCAGCTGAAGCGTACCAATGTAGGGAATCCAAAAATAGAGTGTTTGTGATGTTCCAGCCAGGCCTTAGTCTCAGGATCTGCATTATAGGGCATGATAAGATTGCCTAAAGATAAAACTTCTTATACAATAAAGTCTAGCTGCAAACCTCCAGGGTAGCCAGACCCAAAGTTCCTGTGCATGTTTTCTGCTGATTCATCAAAGGTCCAATTACGCAAAGCCCGATCTCTAGTAACCTAATTGTCCAAACAAATATTGTATGAGAATCATCTTATATCATTTCAGCAATAGAGAATTGAAAGAAAACACAGATACCTTTGCAACTATGCTGGCTCCACTGACAACAGGGTAAAGACTGTCAGCTTTCTTGGCAACAACAAATTTAATTGATGGAAATCTTTCAGACAACTTCGTACAGTACTTGTCAGCGTCTCCAACTGTATCCACAAAGACCTATAATAGGATATCACTGTTAGCTATGCTGCTTCAGGAAAAAAAAAAACATATAAGTGCAAATATGTGTCAGCCTTGTTAAGCCTTTAGATATTTACAATGTTGAAAGTAAAGGTGAACTTGTGAGTAAAGATGAATTAATATAAAAATAAATAAAATAAATTGAAAAAAAAAAAAAACCAGTGACCCTATATTTTATCTGTATGACCAATGCTAAGGCCTTAACTATCATTTTCTTTTAACTACCCCCAAGTTCTTGTAGAGTTGTAGGACACTAGGCACACCAACAAGAGTATGGAAACCTTACTCAGCACTTCAATGCTCACCCACACACTTAAATCACATATTTGTAGAAGAAAATGTGAAAAGATAAGGCAGGACAAGAAGAGCGTGTAGGAAAATGCTCACAGATGGGTTTACTAATATTGTTTTTAATACTCTATCAAAGTAAAAGCAATAGTTCATCTGTTCATTCAATATTGCAGTATGGGGGAGGATAATGCATCCCTAAGCACAATTTAAGCCTTAAATACCTAAAGTTATGTAACAATAAAAGTTAAAAAAAAAAAGATATACATGAAGGGAAAAAAAAAAAAAAATTATATAGTTAACAAGACTCCAAATGACAATATTTTCCTTGCACAACTTAACTGAATTCCTTTCTTCTAACTAACCCTTTTACTATGAACTTTGTACATTGATTGGGGAATATTACCTTCAGCCTTTAATCTGAACACCCATCTGAGTACTACTCGTCTACCCTTTATACATTACTCCCTCCGTTTTGTAATAATAACAGTAAAGAGTGCACAAAATTTAAGAGAAATATAGAGTAGGCTTGTAGGCTTAAATAAAATAATGCAAGTGGGAAATATTTAATAATATAAAGTATAGTTAGTATGAGAGAAAAATAATAAAAAAAGTAGTGTAAGTGGGGTTGATAGGAGAGAGAAATAATAAAATATTTGTAAAAGTGAAGGTAGTAGGAGAGATTATTAATTAAATAATAGTGGGTCCTTACCAAATAAGGAAGTGATGCAATTATTATGAAGCGGACATAAAAGGAAAGTGTTGAGATTATTACGAAACAGCGGGAGTATAAGGTTATACCAAATCAAATTTGTGACTTGGTGTATGCTGTCATTATATAGGTATATCTATATGACTAATGCACCAGATTCTACATGCTGAACAATCTAGTAATAGGACTTTCATTTAACACAAACAATTTCAGCATCAGCATCTAGAATATCATAGTCAATTGTAAACATGTTTCTTGTGTTTTTTAACATAAATTCTTTACCTGCGTCAGAAGCACCCCCATATTAAGCACTCGTGTGACAAGGCCCATTGCCGATTCATGTGATATTTCATTAAGATTTATCTTACTCCTGTTAGAACAATAGAGAGAGAGATAGTCAAATTAAAGGTTAATCAAACCTCCTAATTAGAAACAGAAAAAAAATATATTCATTAAGATTTATCTTACTCCTGTTGGAACTATAGAGAGAGAAAGTCAAACTAAAGGTTCATAAAACCTCCCAATTGGAAAAAAAATATGTAGTATATACATATATATACATTGAATATTTGCTTACTTCTTTAACATTTTGGCCGACAATTCTCGGGGATCTATTACATCAACACTCCATCCAATAGACTCATTAGCCTTCAATGACTCGAACAATTCCTCCCTTTTCTCTTCCTTGAGAGTTTTTGAATCTGATATGTATTTAGGGGGGGGTAGAAAAGGTAGTCACGTCTCAGTGGTAGAAAACAACATTTATTCAAGCTAACAAGCTTACACATTTGCATAAAATAAGGTGAGAATGTTGTTGTGGTGTTACTCTATGACAGCATACAGATTTTATAATTTGACACTATTTACAAAACTGAATCACATTAGCGGGTAGTATGACAAATTTTCTTAAAATTGCCAGAAGCTGATTTAAAAAGCTTCTAGGGTAATCCTTACAAGCAAATAAAACCGGTAGGGAATAGAACTCATTGCTCTATTCAAGCAAGAAATTAAGAGTTGCAATTGCTTACATATCAAAATAGTGTACACCTTTTAAAGTATAAAGTAGTGAATGTTAAAGCATCTCCACAACTAAACCATTTCACCCCTCTCCACCTCCTACCCACATGATTTGCATTCTAGAATATATATTTCGTTAATGTGGTGCAATGGGAAACCTGTGGACTAGTTTAACAACACTAATTAGCAAAAAAAGGTTCCTATCAGCATCCCCAGTACTTGAAGATACCATGACTCAAGTAATATTGATCCTTTTATTTCAACTAGAATTATTATTTATATGGAAAAATAAATTTAATTCTACAGTTAATTTAAAGACCTACCACCACATACTTCTCATTGGCATTTGATTTATGTATTTTATATATGGTTTTTTTTTTCCCATCTCAAGGGGAAAAATTAACAAAAAAAAATCCAAACTATTAGTTCCCTTCTTATTTTAAATCTCAACTATGATTTAATTCAAAATAATCCCAACTATAAGGGGTCTCTTCTCAAATTAGTCTCAAACTTTTGTTAACTTGTTAATCAGGTAAAATGAGCAACGTGTCAACATACTATTGGTTTGATTAATAACATTATTATAAAAAAAAAAATAACATAAATAAAATTAAAAATTAAAAAAACCACCTGATTTTAAACCTAAACTCCCACGGTACCACCACCTTCTGACTCACCACCTACCCAACCACTAAAACCACCTTTACATCCACCCAAAGTATCTTGCCAACCAAGCCCATCCACCTAATTAAACCACCCTTTCGGCCATGCCAGCCGTGAATCACAACCACCGACAATAATCACATCACAACATAGAGGACTGAGAATGGAGGTGATTTGGGAGAGGGGAGAGGGGAGAGGAGAGAGGAACGGGGGTCGAAGAAGGAGGAGATGAAGTGGGAGGTGTCGAAGGTGGACGCGAGATGCGGTTGATGGTCGGGTAGCGAAACGAGGTATAGGTGGGGAGGGACGCCGCAGGTGGGTGATAATGAAGTGGTGGAGGGGGTTGTGGTGGTGGTGGTGTGGCAGTGAGGAGGTGGTGGGTCCAAGGTGGTTTGAGGGAAAAGACAGATAGGGAGTGTGTGATGGAATGAACCAAAAAGGACAACTCTTTGATATGAAGAAATGATGGTGGTCTAGTGTATGATATGATTATGGTATGAAAGCTCCGACTAAGTTTAGATGTTGAAATTTCCAAGAGGTGTGATGATGACTAATGAGGTGGTGGAGGGGGTTAGTTGTTAGTGTTCTTGAGTTTTGTGGGTGGTGGTTGTGGCTATGGAAGAGGCTGAGGTGTAGGTGAATGGTGGGGGTGACAATAATAAATTAAATAAATGAACAAGAATTTAATCCTCAAAAAAAAAAAAAAAAAAATTAACCGGTATCACAAGTTATAGGTAAGATAAACTAATTTGAGAAAGGACCCCCTATAGTTGGGATTATTCTTATTTAAAGCATAGTTGGGATTAAAATGAGAAAAGAGCCAATAGTTTGGATTATTTTTGTTAATTTTTCCAATCTCGAGGTCATATTAATGCTTATTTGAGCTCTATGAAACTATATTTATTACTAATATGCGTTTTCAAGTGTTTGTAAAGTTAGGCCCAATTCACTTCACATTATTTTTGCTAAATTAAAATTATTTTAATTGAAATGAAATTATTTTTATTGAACTTAAATTGTTTTTACTGAACTGAAATTAATTTTACTGATTCTCTATTATTTTCTTCTTTAAGGTTACTGATTTTTTTATTAATTTTACTGAACTGACATTATTTTTATTGAATATTAATTTTTTAAGGCGAACTGAATAGGGCCTTAGTATGAATTTTGTAGGAATTTTCGGTGATTTTTAAGGCAAATGGACCGCTACGAGATACTAGAGTTGGACCGCATTATGTATGAAATTTTATTTAAAGCATGGAGATAAGCATCGACTTCACGTCCGAATCGTAAGCCAAAAATTGTCAAAGCGATTAGGCGAGCATTAGCCCAATTGGGCGCGTGTATTTTCTAGGCTAGTCTTAGCTTTCTTTTGTAATCTTTTTTAAAAGAAGTATTTGAATTTTGTTGTAAAATTCTTAAGCACATTTTTAATTAATTACTTTCAGCTTTAGTTTTTAGAGAGAATTTTAGTATTAAAAGCACTTTTCATCTATTATTGTTGGATTAAAGTTTTCATATTTACTAGTACATGAAGTTGAGTATTGTTTCTGGCTTGCCCGGTTTGTAACCTTGATAAACATGTTATTAAATGGCATATTTGTAAATAAATGAAAAAAAAAAAAAAAAAAAAAAACCATTGTTCATGGTAAAACCGCTAACACTGGTTCTACCATGAATAGTGTTTTTTTTGGCATTGTTCATCATAGAACCTCTAACAGTGTTAACGATTCTACCATGAATAGTGCAAAAAAAACACTGTTCATCGTAAAACCGCTAACACAATTAGCGGCTCTTCCATGAACAATGTTTTATTTTTGGTATTTATTTACAAATTTGCCACCGTGATAGACAACAAGGTGATGAACTTGTATTTTCTCTTATTGCTTAGTCTTAAATATTGTTTTCAATATGTTCGAATTAATTGGTTTGTTAAGATTAGATCTAAATATGTGTGAGTAGTTTAATTCTAGCATTTTAGGGATCTATTAATTAATATGAAAGGATAATTTGTTCTCAATAATTATTGATGTTGCATGTTAATATCCTATTGACTATTTTCATTCTATGCAATTAGACTAGGCTGGATTTAATTGTCATAGTGTGAAAATATTGATTTTATGATTAAGAGATATAATTTTGATATTAAGGCTAGTTTCCATAGGTAAAATTAGATCTAATAAATTACGAGAGCCTGTTATTTTTTAATCTTAATATCGATTCGAGAGAGCATGTTAATATGATCAATTACAACATTGATTGTTAGTTGTTTGTTTTATTTAGAAATATTATTCATTGATGAACCTATGCTCTACGCTTTTATTATTGATATTTTCTTTTAGGTTAAATTATAAGTTTAGTTTAATCACAAACAGATTACTCGTATCTTGATAATTTATACTATAATAATTAATTAGGACTAAAAGAACATTTTTTGCTTGCCTTGTTTGTAACTGGATTTTAGGTTATTTTTGAAAAAGTGATACGACTTTAGCATGTAAAAATTTGGTGTTATCAAATAAAGCAAACCACAAGAGCATATGGATGACTAGTGCTCACGTACTTTTCACTCATTTATGTAGCGAATAAAAGATGTAATCAATCGCTTTCCACCCAACCCTTTATATGTGAACAATGCCCTCCCAAAACTCACACACTCGTGTGTTTAAAAATACATACACTCGGAATATATCAAATCATTATTTGCATTGATGAACAACTAACACATTTATAGAACTTTATGCACAAAGGTTAAAAGGTTTTCAAAGCTAAAATAATGTAAGGGCTTAGGTAAAAGGGTAGGAAATATTTGGAAAAAATGAGAGAAAAACTTAATCGAGAAGCTAAAAATCCAAATAAATCCCGGTAAATATTAAAATTATGGCCATATACTCTCCCAAAACTTTACAAATATTCACCAAACAAACCAATCCAATTTTCACAATATTTCAACACTTACATTATCACTCATAATAATAAACATCGAAGAACTTGAATGCAAACAAACTTTGATTTTTCTTCTTTTCTTTTCTTTTCCCTTTTTTTTGGAACAAATTAAATAGCAATGCTTAAACATTGAAATTTTTTTTTTTATCTTTTTGCTCTTTTTATTCCATTAATCTCAATTTGGAATTTTTCAACATTTTAATGCTATTTTTTTTTTTTTAATAAAGCAATAAAATCTAATCTAATAAAAAAATACGAAATAAAATCTAAACTAAGCACACCAAAACAAACAAAAGAGAAAGTAAGAACAATACCAAAACCATACAAGAAATCACTCTCCCGAAAAGCTAAAACGGACAATGCCCTCATCGGCTTAGAGAGTAGTTAGTAGACATCCCGCCTAATCATCATCATCATAATCATTCATAGCATTATCATCATAATACACCGCATCATCATCAACATCCACTCCACCATCGTCATCTCAGCCCACACCAACATCATCAAATACATAAGCTAAGATGTGCACCAACATTTGAATATTCAAGACCAACATTAGAGTAAGGGTTCCCTACACCGCTTTCCCCGACCATCCCTTAGAAGGTATAATCAGTATACCCACCGATGACTCCCGAGTTCGATATCCTTGAGAAGGGTATTGGTACCATTCCCCTCCTAGCATAGTCATCATACAAAAGGTAAAAGCCATGACCTAATTCCTCTTAAGGTAATCAAGAAGACCCACAATGTCGTATAGCGTAGAATGCAAATTATAGTCTCTGCATTCGTTAGACAACTCTATACGAGCAAAGAAATGCATGATTTGGTCCATATCAAATCAAACATAAACGGATGGAACTGTCCTTTGGACATAGCATGGTGGGTCGGGTGGGGGAAGTGGATCCTAGAGAATCTCACTCACCGCGGGGTAGAGATATGAAACTCTCCCCAGTTGAAACCTACTGTGAATCAAGGGAAATAAATCTTATTAGTAGGGCAACCAATCCATCGTAATTTGCTTAAATGCAACATGTCATCATTATCAAAACCAATATGTGGTGCACATGCAATGTGA